CTGGAATTCTCCGTAGGTTAAAGAGCAACACTGTCTCGAGATCTGGGAGCTTATTACATAATTTCAACCACCGACTAGACGCTATTGCCGTCATTTATTATAGACATTTATGTGGGATTTTTACACTGTGATTTTTAAAAACACTTTTTTAAGGGCAATTCCAAGCTACGAAGCTGTTAGTGGATGATACATTTATGTGAAGCTTCTAGAAAAATGGGACAAGTGGATCGAGTTCGGGGGTAGCTATTTATTTTCCATTAATTAATAAATCTATTTACTGCAATTATTTTCGCCGGCTATGCGCAGGGGTATTTCGATAACTTCGGCCATCCAACTTGGGGATTTATATAGTTCCATTATCAATTTAATCATCTTTCTACTCCAGTGGCTAGCTAGTTGAGGTATTACCGTGTAGTTTAATCTTCGGACAACTTTCTATCTCCACTTTGTTGTCCTTTCCCCCTTATTTCTTTCCCATTCGTACCAACTTCCATTAATCAACTCGATTGTTTTCAAGTCGGGACCAGCTCTTCGGTTTATGGAAGACAGGAAAAGAACGACAACAACGACTTTGCGCTCTCACTGGAAGACCTTAAGTTTAAAGTTTCCATGTAATCGAGCCTTAATTAAAGCTAGATGCTTTCCAACTGACCGCCCTTGCCAGCGATTGGGTGATAGCTTACAACTCCCACTGATAGCGTTATGTACAGTACTGTTGACCCCAAAAAAGGAATGATCATCGATAAGTGGACGGCATTAGAATATTGAGAGCATGTTTGAAATAACTTGAAAGGTCGATTTTTAATTCTGAGCTGTTATTCATTTTTCTTAAAAAAATATTTAATTATAAAAATAAATTAAAAATAACTCTTCTGGAAAATAAATGTGGCATGGGTTACTATAAATAAGTTATAAGGTTAGAATTTGTAATTTAACTTTATAATAATTTTTTAAGTCTATAACCAGTGGTTTTCTACCTAGTTGAAGGGTGTTCGACTTTGCGATTTAAATATTTCATTTGCTTTAAATTTAAGGGTGTTCGACTTTGCGATTTAAATATTTTATTTGCTTTAAATTTAATATTTTTTTATTTAAAATTAATTTTTATAGCATTTTTTTATGATTTTGATGTAGTAATATTAAAAATAAAATAAAAATATTATTTTAATATATTCTAATCAAAAAAATAAAAACTGCCGCGACACGGCAAGCTATCCTCGCAAATGTGGAGAGAGCAAAGAGAGTTGGAAGATATATGATTGAAGATGCTTCTCATAGAAGGCAATCGATCTGAGATGGTTCTTCTTGTATCGAGGGACTGCCCTATGCATGCGATGCCTGGAGAGAGAGCATAATTGATTCGTGGGTCACGAGCTTTTATTCTATGGATTTGTTTCCTTGGATGCTAAACAACCTCTCGTGTAATGCTATAGTTGCAGAATCTATTCTGTGGACTCCTCGGTTTGGAACTGGGTGCTGGCAGTTGTGGAACTGGCGCAACTCCACTTGTCTTTGCACCTACCGCCACGGAATTAACCCAGTGTTTGCGATGCAATGTTCTTGCCAGGGAAGTAGAATGGAGATCATTATTTTTATTTTATTTTAGTTTATAATGCATGTTATTTCTTAAAACTAGTTTAAAACCATCTATTCGCTTGTTATATAAATGTTAAAAAATGATTTATAATCATCTTAAAAGAGATAATTCATTGTTAAAATGATATCATAGTTAAAAATATTATGACCGAGTCAATCAATAATTTATTCCTTTAAATATATTTAATAATAAAATAAATAATTATAAATAAATCATATATCAAATAAAATTAATATATATACCAACACAAAACTGAAATAAAAAATAGTTGAAAATGCAAGATAATAATTTCATCACAAATGTATATTTTTTTTGTTAACATTCAATCCATACCTTTTGGTCATTGAATTTGTTTTTTCATAATATGATCAATTTTTATTTTTATATATTATTTATGTTTTAATTATTATATTATTTTTTAATAATGATATTCATTGCTTGTCATTCAATAAAAAAATAATTTACTCTAATTTATTCTTTTTGTAATTGTTACAAATTATTAAATTGATAAAATATTACGACCTCTCTCTTGTTATATTTCTCTTTTTCTTCCTTTATGATTTGTAATTTCATATTTTCTAGTTTTCAGATGTAATGATGAAAATTAAGTTATGTGGATTGATATTTAAATATTTAAATTATGAGATGTTTAAAGGAATATATATATATATATATATATATATATATATAACATAGTCTTGTCTTCTAGATCCCTCAAACTTGATTTTGTCTCTATTGCAATAACCAAATATATTTTCATTCCTCGTGTCTTTATTTTTCCCTTAAGACAAACAACAATACTTCGATACACCACTAAATATATAGAGAGCCATGTTGGTTGTATTCGTGTTTTGTTAGAGGATGTCTGGAGAGCGGCTAGCCGTGGAATAATCCATGTGTAATTTTCGGAGCACAGTTCTCAATCCAATAAAATAAAAAAGAAACCTTGTAACTGTATCCAAACTTTTTTGCCATGTCTGGAAACTACTTTCTATTTATTTTTTAATGTTTGTTTACCATAAAAAAAAAAGAGTTGATATATAAAAAATATTTTACAGTTAAAAAAAAATTCCTTTATTTTTAAGAAAAAAGTTTCTTTTATTTTGAGTAGAATACATTTCTTGAAGTTATGAAAAAATAAAAAAAATCATGATATTTTTTAATTATATCAAATTTAATCTTTAATTTTTTGGTTGCTATATATATATATATATTATTTTGATATTTTTTTATTTTATCCCTTGAAATTTGATTTTTTTTCCAACTCCATTCCTTATTTTTATTTATTTATTTTTCTCTTATTCTCTTTTTAATTGAGAATTTATATATATATATATATATATATTATCTCTATTCTTTTAATTGCTATCTATTTTATTTAAAATAGTCTATCAAATTATTATTTTTAATTTTTTTTTCATATTTTTTTTATTCTTTAGATGCTATCTATTTTATTTAAAATAGTCTATGAAATTATTATTTTTAATTTATTTTTTTTTTATTTTTCATATTTTATTTTTTATTCTTTAGATTGTTATTTTTTCATTTAAAATAATTTTTTTTTTTAATTTCATCATTTAAATTTTTATATGTCAAACCCATTCCCCATTCTTTTGATAAACTTAAATAAAACTAAAAAATACTTTACCATTTATTTTTTATGATATTATCAAATATCAAAAAATTATTTATTTTTCATGAATTGACCTTCCATTAAAAATTGCTTTTCAAAATAAAAATACGCTGTGTCAAGTACATGCTATAAACCTTCCCACAAAGGAGAAATTTCAAGGAAAAAAGAAAAGGGAATCACCTGCAACTCTTCGGAAACCAATGCCAATTGAAAGCCGTGCAGTGTATACAGTGGCCAAAAAACATTCACTCAAGATTGTCAACATAACGAATAGACTTGGAAAAACACCAAGAAATAAATAAGATAGAGATTACAAGTAGGCTAGCCGTGGGGGCATGAATCAACAACTTCCCTATGTCAGATACAAACAAGACTGTGAATAGCAACCAAGTTGCCTCATTAACCCAATATACTAAAAAAAGAAAAAAAAAAGGATCCATGGAATTCTTAGTCAAGGAAATTAATCTGGCGTGGATTATATGTGAGAGTCGAATTGAAGTTATAAATTTTCAGGACCAAGTTGCAATTGATGCTTGTTTTATTTTTGTCAACTTGGGACATACCGTGGATGTTCGGCTGATAGATGCTTCTAACAGTTCATGGTTGAGGTCAACTTTGAGAGGCCAACAGTTTTGCAAGTTGATGGTGGTATATCCATCGAATCCAACCCATGGTTTTGCTACTTAACACCACTATAAGATACGTATCCCTCTTAAGAAGAGTCACCAATTCAACCTCCGCAAAAGACTTCTCGAAGACTGCAAAATCAAAACTGTAGTGTGGTGTCCGCTAGTGATGCACATTGTTATGCCGAGAACAACTCGGTTTCTCGTTTTAATATTGCAACTTACCTTTTCATTCGTTCCTTATCTGTCTGTATAATGTCGGGGAACCATGCGCCCGGACGAGGCTATGGTTTTTTTTTTTTTAATGAAATTCTATATATATGCAAAAGCTTACGAACATGACTGTATACCATCTCCAACTACTGAATTAGTGGTATATTAATACATGTTAGCCACTCACCTTTTTTACTCAATTAGTGTGGATAATTTCCACCAATCACCTTGCATATGCATCTCAACAATATAAAGAGTGGAAATTTGACCACGAATATAATTAAGCACAAACATGTTTACAAGTAATGGTAGCGGGAGCTTTCTCCAATCACGGTCAAGTTCCAGTCAAACTCCCGTTCTGGCCAAGAAATGGATACCCACATAATTGAAGCATCTGCCATGCCTTTGTCCGGTGACTTTGGATGAAGGAAGCTCCGTTCAAGCGATGCACTCAGCTCACAAATGAAAAAAGGCTGATGTTGAATAGGCAAGTGGGCCTCTTTTGGACCAAAAGGATTACTGTCGGCATGATGCCCATGGATTATAATCTCAAAAGGCAGGAAACCCCGATCCAGTTAATTATATGTAGCCCAAAACGTAAGGCCAGGCCCAAAAGGCAGCGAAAAGAATTGTGGATTCAACTTCCTGTTACAATTTCAGGAGAGGACTGAAATTGATTCTTAATAGTTGATACTGTGCTACTCACAAAAATAGTGGTAAAAAATAGAATAATAATAATAATAATAATAATAATAAATGAGGCTTTCCAGTAAACAGTTCTACATGATTATCCAAAGAAAGTAATCATTGGATTCATATAAAAAAAAAGGTGATGATCGAGACAACTTTATGGGTTTGCCTCAGAAGATAAAACATAAACGACAAGTATGCAAGTAGATTACTGATGCAAAACAAGCTATAAATATCATTATTGACTATAAGAAGTATCTCAATTATTAAAATAACCATGTTCCATGTAAAATATGATCCCATGAAACATCAAAACAGAGAAATTGATCAGATGATTCAGGTACTTGCATTTCAAGCTAAAATGAGTTATCATGATGTCGTCAGTGCGGGCAGGTTTCAAAGCACCAGATTCTTTAACCTAGCATGTCAAGACTTAACATGTATGTACGCATAAGGTTTTGAACAAAGTTTTCCCAATGCAATTAGGAATGTGATTTTGAATGATAATCTAACAGCATTGGAAATGAAATGACAGAAAACTAAACCAGTTCGTTAAGCTAAACAGCATTAAGATATATTATCCTGCTGACAAAGAAACCGCTTGAACAACTTGGGCATAGAGCTTATTCTGAATGGCAAAGACATGGTTCAGCAAGTTATTATATTTGCCGTCAGCTCCACTGCAGCAATTACTTGAACCTCTGGAACCACAGAGAAACATAAGCAATATTGAAGCCCTGATAATATAAAATGAAAAACAGATATAATGATTAAGCTAGAGAAAGACCAAAAAAAAAAAAACGAGGAAACTGTAACAAAACCAGGAAATTTCTTACTCTTTAAGGAAGGTAGTCTACCATCAACTTGTTGAAGCCTTCTCGTTCTTCATTATCATATGGAATGACTTCACCCGGTCCTCCTCTACTATCTCCCTTAATACATCATCCTCAATCTTTTCTGCTTGCCAACGAGAAGGGTCCTCCACAAATTCCTCACTAAATATCATGCGTGAGACCCATTCCTTCCATGCTGTCCTACGATACTTGTCCTCTTCAACTGTGCCTGTTGCCAGAAGCTGATACACATAAACCATCTTCTGTTGGCCAGGCCGAAAAGCTCGTGCAATGGCCTGCTTTGTCTTGGAAGGATTCCACTCCGAGTCCAAAAGAATTACACGTGAAGCTGCTGTCAAACTTATTCCCTCGGCACAAGCTGTAATTGATGCAAGTAGAACCCTTGAAGGCCCTCCCAATTCCTCAAACTTATCCATCACTCTTCCTCGTTCAAACAGCTCTAGTTCCCCTGTAAGAACCAGAATTTCTTTACCCTGCTGCCATCTAAAGATATTCTCAAACAATTCAATGAATAATTTAATGGGTGCAATGTTGTGGCAAAAGATCAGAACCTTCTCGTTCTTGACTACACGATACACAAGATTCAACACAAACATCACCTTGGACCCTTTCTTACAATCAAATCTTAACTTCTCAAGTTCCATCAGTTCCTCCAGATTATAAATTTTTTTAACACAGACAGAAGAATTGACCAATGAAGGATGTATTGAAGCAAGAGTTATCAAAAGCTCTACTTCCAGGGGGTATCCAGGGCATTTTTCCATTATTTTATGGAGTTTCACCAAAATCTGATGTTGAATATCTGTTGGATTCATTAATATGGTGTAAATCTGTAGACCAGGAAGGGTGTCAGAAGCTGTGCCTTCATACACGTCAATGAACCCATTAGTCATGTTTCTCAGCATATTCAAACCTTGCATTTTCTCTTCAGCCTCATCCGAATTAATTTTGCTTGCAATGTTATCTATGAAGAATTTTCTGGCACGAGATTCCAGCAAATGACGTGCTTTCTGTGCCCCTTTCTTTTTCCTCTTAAACTTCGGGTCTAATGCCTTCAGAACTTCTTTGATAAACATTGGTCTTGCTAGGGAAAGGGTGTTGAAATATTCACAAAAATTATTCTGAAACAAAGTACCTGAAAGCAATATTCTCAAATCTGTTTCCACTTTCATCAAAACCTTCCTCAACCTGGATTTTGTACTCCTGGGATTGTGTCCTTCATCAAGTATCAACATTCCAGGACTCTCTCGCAGCACTTTAGCCATATATTTTCTGTGGTTGTACTTTGAGTCTTCTCTCATCAATGTCAGAAATGAGGGATAGCCCATGACAAGCACACTTGGGTGGGCATGCCACTTTTGCATTTTCTCCAGGCAATCCAAAATATGCACAACATCCTGGCTGGGCCTTGGACCTGATCCTCGAAGCACTGCTGGAGTCTGCTTGAAGACTCTAGAAGATCTGGTGCCATTGATAAGATGAACCGGAACAGGGATTTCCCACTTGATAAATTCCTTGTACCAGGTATAGAGAGTTGTCTTTGGAGCAAGGACCAGAGGCCGTTTTCCTGGAAACAACTTCAAGTAGCTGACAAGGAATGCAATGATGAGAAATGTTTTTCCAGCTCCAGGAGTATGAGAGACAACACAACCACCTATCTTCTTAGATGTTTTTTCCATATGTGCCGGTACCAAGGATCCAGCAGTGTTCTTCCATAGAAACTCAAAAGCCTTTTTCTGGTGCATGTGTAATTTCGGTCTAAGCTCAGGGATCAAGTCCCAAACATTGTCATTCACTTCTGATACAGGCACATCTTCACCTGAAGTATGATTGCCAAAAAGACTCGAGCCCTCATCTTCATCAGTTTTAACCTCCGAATCCTCTTCATTCTGTGGCTTACTTTCTGCAGTCCAGCCTTTGTGTTCCATCTAGAGAAATTTAAACGCACATAGTATAATCAGGATTCTGTTTGAAACAATAGCATTAGATACTCCCATACAAAATGGTTGAAACTGAACAACAGAAGTTGGAACCTGCCATTAAAACCCCACCTAGGAGACTACAGTCAAAGACCAACCAAAATGCAATGAGATGAAATTTAGTATACATTACACAAGCAGTAGGATACCTAATTATAACTACTAAGTGCCTCTCCTTCATACTCACTCGTCTATCCAGAGGGCTAATAAACGAGGTACAGCAGCCACATTGAAAACATTGGCATCATGGGTTTAAAAATTTGACTTACAAATGGTGCTGAAACATATTTTATTTCAGTTTTCACAAAGCCACATATTTGGCATAATATCCCAATTTCTTCATCCAGTTTGAATTCGTGCTGGCAATTTTTCTGTGTAGTCTGAGTGGAAAGTAGAGCCTGCAAATCCTTGAGCCAATCAGAAACGGTAATGAAGAAAAAAAAAACGGTACAACTAATATGAATTAACACACCTGTACAAAAAAGAATCAAATCAAATTAACAGTTCTACCTCATTATCTTCAAGTATATATGCTGATGCGAGGCATAGTTCCATCTCTCTCCACAACATTTCAGTTTCTGAGCTTTCTCCATCATCCTTAACTGAAGATGGTTCCATTTTCTCCTTCTGATCTGAGCTATGTTTTGCTTTAAACTCTTCCCACTGGTCAATAATGCGTGGTACCTCCTTTGACTTGATTGTGGCATCAATTTTCTTCATATAAGAACTTATTAGTTTATTGTACGCGCCAGCACTTAAGGCTGTCCGCTTGTAAGTCATTGGCGCACAGGAATTATCCTGCTTTAAATGTGTGGATCGGTATCTTGCTCTTTGAACTTTCTTAGTAGAAAATTTTCCACCCCATCCATTTCCAAACATCAAATCTTCATCAAGATCATTCTTCCTGTGTGCAGCAGGAGAACTCGTTTTTCTGTAATAACTAATCGGAAATTCAATAAACGCTTGTGAATAGTGTTCAGGAGTCTTCACTGGGGAATCAAATTGTTCAAAGGTTACCAGAACATCTTCAGTATGCACAGGAACAATAGCAAGTTGATCCTGGTGTTCTCTTCTGTTAGCCCCGCCTAATTTAACCTCCCTAATTTGAGTTCCATGCTTTTTTCTGTTAGCCATGCCTGACTCAGCATCCCTGAGTCGAGTTTGGTGTACTATTTGGTCAGCCATGGTTGACTTTTGGCGTTCTCTTCTCTTAGCCATGCCTGCTCGAACCTCTCCAGGCTCAGTTTGGTGCTCTCTTCTGTTAACCAGATTTGATTTAATCTCCTTCAAACAAGTCTTGGTTCTGGAAACAGGGATACCTTCCAAGAGTTCTAGTTTAGGAGAACTAACTCCCACTTCGTTGCAAGTTTGCTCTTCTGCACAACTTGCACCAGCATGTGTCCCAAACAGGTATGCCAGTGGTAAGTGCAATTCTTCTTCTTCTTCTTCTTCTGCCTTCCATTTCAGTGGCGTGTATGGCAGGGATCTTACCCAGCCAATTTCTGTCTCTGCAGGAGCACCACAGGCTAGGAAGCGCTCAGGTTGTATATTTTGACGCTTTGACCGCCGCAAACTCATAACATCATAGCATGGTGATTGTTCGGTCCCATTGGTGTCTCTAATATGGCCTACTTCACTACAAGCATCAGTGGGAACCAATTGGACCACAAATGGGGTTGAAATACTGTCTTTCACTTTGAAAGTTACACAATTTATGTGATTATTAGATTTTAATGAACAGTGCTCATTCTCACCACCCGAAATTTGGTAGACAATTTTATTTTGGACTGACCTTACATCAAATTCAACTTGCTTCAGAACTGATGCTACAAGCAGCCATGTCAGGTCAGCTGAAAACCTCCCCAAAAAGAGTTTGCTTCTTTGTACTAAAGAACAGTCCTCACAAAATTCCCAACGGTAGAACTGAGCTTCTTGCTGATTGTTGCCTGCTTCACATGGATCATTGTCAAGTTTCTGAAGAACAGAAATTTCATTGATTCCTACTGCTACAGTTTCTTTACTAAGCCTGGCTCTCTCTGAACCAAGAGGGCCTTGGTTAACATAGAGGTTAACAAAAAATTGACATGAGCAGTGAGATACATGAGGTTTTCGCTTGATAGAACTTATCTTAGCATCAACCCACACCTACATAGGAAAAAGCATATGAAAAACAACATTAAATATGAACATCATAACTTTTGAAATTTAACTGCTGCAAAATTTAATGGGAAGCTCTTTCAAGCAGGAAAATTATCATGTATTCTGTGGGTGACAGGGATATTAGAGGAAGTAATTCAATGTTTTGTGCATTATGATGTGCATTTATTAAGCCATGAGACCTTTTTTCAATCATGGTTAAGTCTTGTGCTGTTCTAAAGAAATGCAAATGGTTGAAAACACTCGATAAGCATGATTGTGATAAATGTACACCATCTATAGTCCTCTCATATTTACAGAGCCTTCAGTAATGCAGCAACATGAAAAGGTCACTTACAGGTTCTGAATTTCCTTCCCCAGTATTCTTTGCGTGCTCAGAAGATGAAAGCACACAAACATCAATACCAGGCCTCAGAAAGCAGGTGCAATCAGATAAAGTAGCTTTCCTTGACTTCACTCGAATGTTTGAGAAAGGACCCTTCTCATCAATTCTATGATGGTTATCTACAAAATGCAGAGTCATAGCCCCATCCCTGATTTGTATAAGCTCCACGTTTTGCCAAGAGCCACAGCATAAGGCCTCAAAAGCTAAGCGAATAGAGCATCAATAGAACCATATTAAAAAGATAGTTATCACAACATGTGATGCATATACAATTGCAAAACCATATTAAAAAGATAGTTATCACAACACGTGGTGCATATACAATTGCAAAAAATATTTCGGGAATCCATAGCCATTTGAAAAATGAAAACATCCAGGTTTCAGCAACTTAAATCAGAATATTCTTAACAATCAAACGCGCAGATTTCCTCACTGCATAAATAGTAAGGACAAATGATTTTTAAGATTAAAAAAAATCTGAATTTGATGGTTCACACCATCAATTTGTCTTTTATGATTGTCCCATCTTGGCTCAAACATTATGCGGCACTGACAATTTAGCTAATCCAAAAAACACATAAATGCTTATATAACTTCCACAGGCCAACGATTTATGATAATACATGAACCTATATTTAGCATGGACTCCTTGCTCAGAATAACAAAAACTTAAGCTCCGCAGTATCGGGGCTCGCTCCTAAGTAAAGTTAAGGATAACATTAGAAATAAACAAAAAGAGAGAGTAAGGGAATTAAGGAGGTAAAACATACGGTGTGCATTAAATGAATGCTTGGACTGATGTAAACGCTTTCTCTTCATTGTTAATCAGCGAAGAAGCTAATTCTCTTCAGCAAACCCTGAGTTAGCTGAAAGAAAATGACAGCATCAACATATACTCAAGGAGATACATTAAAAAAAAAAAAACTTAAATGAGATACATTCAAACTTGAAACCAATTAATGTTCATGAACTACATGAAATTCCACCAAAGTAGCTTTTCTTTATCTAGTAATTTAGATTTGATGCAACAAGCTTTTACCAGTAAATTCCAAGTGAGTGAACAGTCCTTTGAGCCACAATGCAATAATCGAGGCTGCATAAATGAGGATTCAAACTATAGATGTGAGCCTCAACAGCTCATCCCAGGCTCCCCCGTTTTCCACTTGGCTAAACCAGTGGGGAATGACGAGTCCTACAAAATAGGTCAATAAGCATCTGCATTTTGTCTAATGGTTCTCACCTCTGCAAAACCAAGACTGGAGAGAGTTAAAAGTTTTACACTTGTCACTTTAAGAGCAAAAAACAAAACAAAACAGAAAAGAAAAGAAAAGAAACGGTAAGATTGGCAGTGCCATGGCATCATTATTGTTTTTGGTGCTAATTTTTTATCCTTCGTATTGCCATACCATCAATTATTTAATATAGCCATGACAGAGTTCAGTCCAAGTCTAGTGCTATCATTTCAAGCCAGGGTGATCAAAATAATGCCTACTTGCTTTCACCTGAGAAATTTTTACAAGGACTAGTTCGCTCGTTGGTCCAGCACAGTTTTAACTGGTTGATGCAATGGACCCTACGGTTTATAACTGTTTGGAGTGGTAAACCAAGCGAGTGTGATTAGTTTAGTTTGGTGGGAGTGGTAAACCAAGCGAGTGTGATTAGTTTGGTGGAATGAACCAGCTCCATGCAATAGTTTCTCGCTTTTACCTCAAGGATTCTTGTTCTACGAAATAGAAAATTAAAAGGGGAAAAAAAAACAGGGAAAGAAACGTGATTATTTACACTCCCATTAGTGAGTAGTGACTTTCGCTCTCTTTTCCTGGTTATAAATCCATGATACGGTAAATTAATCGGCAATTAATATATGATGTTGAGTATGAGACTTCTGTGGTAAGTAGTTAAGCAACAAAATTTACAACCCCCTTTTCTTCTTCTTCTTTTTTTTTCTCACTGGAAAAATTAAGGGGGAATCCACCTTTTTATCATTCTAGCAATCATTCCCTAGAGAGAAATGTTGCAAAAAAAGTCTCCTCTTTTCAACCCCAAAATGAAATCTAAGAAACACTCAAGCTTGAACCAGTCAAAACCCCTTGTCAGTATCAGTTTTATATCAGAAAGGAAGACAGAGCAGAGGGTTGTCTCAACAAACATGAAAGAAAAAGAGAGAGGTATGTAAAAGGAAAGGAAGTTATTATACTAAAAGTAAAATACCTTAACAGAACTTCTGTGTGTCTGATAAAAAGGCAGATTCAGGTGAGTTATGATGGAAAAGTGTTAGGCTCCGGCAAGGTTTTCATCGAGAAAGAGACACTGAGCCATGAAATGGAGTGGACTTGGAGATGTGGATGCTCGGTACTCGCTAGAACCGATAGGGGAATAGTTGGGCGAAGAATCTTATAGAAACTGTTTGTAATAATGGTTGTAGTTTTTTCAAAATGTTTTTTTAATTAAAATATATTAAATTAATATTTTGTATTTTATAAAAATTATTTTTAAAATTATTTTAAAATGTTTTAAAAATATTAATTTTAAAAAATATAATAAAACAATTTTAATTTTTTTTAAAACAATTTTAAAATATAAAACAATGATTCAGGTCACTGAGAACCTCGGGGTTTGTGTTATTGCGTTGGTAAAATCATAGGTGTCTGTTCGTGGGGAACCAGTTGGCCTGTTTGGTAGTAAATTCATGAGTGTGGTCTGTTTTGGTAGTACATGCTACATGTACAGCGGTCAAACAGTGACGTGTGAAGGAAAGGGGTGAATTACTGTAATATGAAAAGGGATCACTTTGATTTTTCCTTTTCTTTTTTTATTTTAATTCTTTTACTTTAATATTATTTTTTATATTAATAAATACTCGAATTAGTTTGTATATATTTTAATTAATTTTATAAACTTTAAAAACATGAAATTTATATTATAAAATTAACTTATAGAGAGTAAATTCAAATATTTGTTGAAGTTAAATCTTCAAGGTTTTCAATATTATATTTATTCAGAACAGGTATAGATGATTTGCTTTTTATATTTACATGTGAGCATCTTGTGATGTCCGAGGAATATTTCCTTACTTGATCATGTCTTAGAGTATCTCTTAAATTCGAGGTCTCTGCACAAGTAACGTGTCCTTGCGTAGGTCAAGAGTTCATCTGGAATTGTTGCTATCTGAGCTGATAATATTCGAAGAAACGTAATGCAGGAGAGGAGATTGGAACATGG